CAAATACATTCACTGAAATAAGGCATTTGTTAGCTTACCCAACAAGCTCAGTCACCGGGCTTTTTATCAAATCAACTCCTCGTTAGTAGGGTACTATCTCCGCTGGCTGGAAAAAAAATCCACCGTGGTCCTTTTCAGTTCGCGATATAAATAAACAGGGAAAAAAAAGTTCAAGTTATCTGTTTTTCAAGAAAAATTTCTTCAGCGTAATTCGCATCCGCGACCTCGCCGACTACTGTGCGTTGCTCTTCTCTCCTTTGTGTTAATTTCACTCAAATCGAGTTTAATCCGATCGATCCCTCGACTGGCCGCGCTCCCGAGTCCTCCCCTCCAGACACTCGCTCACCTTCCTCGGCCAGGGGGGGCGCGCTCCCGAGGACCTCTCATACAGATAAACAGGCGGCGTGCGCGGTCACTGACCCCGTCGTACCCGAGTGACGATCCCTTTGAGTTCTAGTTTTAGGATGCAGAATTAAAAGCTTTTTTAAATGATTTAACCGTAATTATTCACATTCATACCTCATAAAAATGTGTGATCAAACAATGGCAGCTAGTTACACGTTTAACTTTAAATTAAAAACAGGTTTACAAACAGATTAACTTCTAAGGGCTTATTTGATGCGTTGCTTTTATTTTTCTCATTAAAACCTTTGTACAACAATGTTTTCTAATATTTAGGACTTGTTTGCAGCATTCTTCAGAAATTAAGTTTATGTAGGATTTCAAAACCCTCAAAAAATTAATAAAAACATTGTTTAAACAGAAATATTTAATGCATCATTATGGTGTGTATTAAAATAGATGACTGCTGCAGATTTGACACATTTCTTTGTATTTGAAAAGTCCCACATACAGGCATATCTAAAAGAATAGAATATCATCAAAAAGTCACTCATGTCATGAAGTGAAACTCAGATACAGATTTATTAAACACAGTGGAATATTTCTAGCTTTTATTTTTAGTACATTTTGATGATTATGACTAGAAACATTTATTCAAGGATTTGAGAGAACTTCTTAAGGAGTGGTCAGGGGCTGGGTGGCCACTAAGCATGGATGAATCCATCACATGGGCCACTCCAGACTCAGAGACATCTTATAGGAACTGGACTGTTGTTCAGTGGTCCAAAGTCCTCTGCATGACATTTGAGAGTCAAGGTCCCAGAGTCTGTTAGAATGGAGAGGCTCGGAATCCATGTTGCTTTAAATCCAGGTGAAGTTCCCACAGCAATGATTTGGGGTGCCATGTCCTCTGTGTTGGTTCACTTGTGTTTTCTGAAGTCCACAGTCAACGTAGACACCTACCAGGACATTTTGGAGGTCTTCATGCTTCCATCTGCTGACAAACGTAAGATGCTGATTTACTTTTCCAGTAAGACTTGGCGCCTGCTCACACAGCCAATGGAAACAAAAGCTGGATCATGGTGGGCCAACAAACTGGCCTGACATGAATCCCAGAAGAGGATCTATGGGGTATTGTCAGGATAAAGAAGAGAGACACCAGACCCTGATGCAGATGACCTGAAGGCTGCTATCAAAGGTACCTGGGCTTCCACTACACCCCAGCAACGCCACAGGCTGAAGGCCTCCGTTCAACACTGCAGATTTAGTGATTCATGCAGAAGGAAGCCTGAAATTTCTGTTTAAAATATCTTTTTTATTCATGTTATTTTCTAAGACACGTCATATTATAAATTCTTGTCCTTAAGCCAAAATCATCAAAATTTCAAGAAATAAAGGCTTGAATATTATATCATTTGAACATTTTATTCAAACGTGATGAATCTAGTGAGTGACAAACAATATTTATTCTTTTGAGGTGCGCCTGTATAACAAAAACACACATAGTTACACACTCACCTCACTGAAGCACAACTGATGCCACTTTCGTATCGTAAAGTGGTGAAGTGATGCTGCATGTTGCAGGAATATGAGGGACATGCAATAATGCGGATGTCCCTGACACAATCTGTAATTTGCTTATCATGACAATCTGGCCTCAGGAGACACACACACACACACACACACACACACACACACACACACACACACACACACACACACTTTCTCTCCCTCACGTAGATGCTGTGTCCTAACTCTCTGATCTCTGTGTCTGCTCTCTGACTTCCTCCTTTCTGCAAAGTGCAACCCATTTAATAAGAACCTCCTGATTACATATTTTCTTGATCATATTTAATAAACCACATAGAGCACCGAGTAAAAAAACCTTTTAAAAAACCTTATTTGTTTACTGTAAGTTCGTCTGACTTGCACTGGCTGACTTCCATCAATATAACTACATTATGAAGTTGCTCGTTACGTTTTGTTAGTTGACTCATCACTGAGAGTTTTTTGTCCATAATAAAGTTATGTATTTTCCTAAAGTGAATATGCTAAAAAGTCGCCAAAAACTCTGCCCCTTTGTTTAAATCTATATTTTCTGTGTGCATGTGTCACGTTCACTTCCAAGACAACTCCTCAATACCAAAATATGACTCTGAAAACCAACTACTGATAAATCAAAAGCATCAAACTTTGGATCTGCATTGTGTGAAAAAAAAAATCTTTGAATACAATAAAAAATGTTTGTTTGAAATTAGTTAAACAGATGATTCCTCACTCTTGCAGGTTGTTGGGAAAGTTTGATATTTTTGTTTGATGAGCTCAAACAACTGGGAGGAGACCCATGGGAAGACCCAGGGCACGCTGGAGGGATGACGTCTCTCGGCTGGCCAGAGAACGCCTTGGGATTCCCTCGGAAGAGCTGGCCCAAGTTAGCCTGGCAAGCCAGACTAAATAAATGTATTATTTAGTCTGGCCACGCTCCATTGATGGCTCTCGGTTGTGCAAAACAAGAATTTGGTCTAGTTCACTAGGCTAGGCCCAAGTAGCTGGGGTGAGGGAAGTCTGGGCGTCCCGGCTCCTGATAAGTGGCTGAAAATGGACGGATGGATGTATGGAGATTAAACAAGTAGCAAATCGTCAGTATGCAGCCATCCTGGCTGGCAAACTTGGATTTTGTATCTTAACATGGGTTGTGTCACCCATCTGTGCATTTTCTTTCCAGCTTTTGTCCAGGTCAGAGTTGTGGGACGTCTGGAACTTACCCGAGCAACAAACAAGGAGTTTCCAGGGAAAATCCATATGCACATGACTTCTATTGCAGATTACTTTCTATACAATCCTTACACGGCATCCGGTGGTTTCCTTTGCACAATTCTGTGTCCCTCAAATTCAGTTTTTCCAGAGTGCTCAGACACAACAGCTGATTTATGTGATATATATATATATAGTGGTGACATCTGCAGACAGAAATGTCTCTGTTTTTTAAATCTCAGCTATTTCTGTGTGAAGTTAGCATGTCCTCTTCATGCATGGGTGGGTTTTCTCTCACAGTCTGAAACAGGAGAAACTGGTTAAGTGGTGATCCCCATCTGACCTTAGACACAAGTTGGGCTTGTCACCTCATCACAAAAGGATTCATGATTTATTCTGAATGACGATAAAGTTGTTGCAGACTGATGTGATGAACAATGGTCAGAAGGGTTGATCTCCCTTTAGTTTGGTGCCACGAGTCGAGATAAGCATTCACAAAGTCCAGCTTTGCTTTTCTCCTTTTCGACTCGCTCTCATCTGGCAGGAGGTTCTGATCCATTTGGACCGGAACCTCTCGCCTCAATAATAATTCCCCTCTGCAGTTGGACTCATGACCATCCTAGGGATGCCCACTCCAATCACTTGCTTTCAGTCACATGACCCTGGGTTGTGTTTGTACCTACACTGTCTTGAATAGTCGCCATTTCTCAAATTATTGTCACCTTATTTTATCGTGATGAAATTCTTACCTCCTATGTTTGCTAATCTCTTATTTTTATCTTTTTTTTACACCAGGTGCTGCAGCAATTTTCTAATGTTGTGATTCGAACACATGGAAATAAAACCCTTCTGATTCCGATTCTTCCTGCGACGGCTGAAAAGGATCGAAGAGCTGTTAATGACGGTGATTTATTCCTGTGAATCATGATGGTGCAAAAAAGGACTTGGATAAACAAAACTCTGACTCCAAGTTGCATTCATTACTTACACCTCCCATTCATTCCAATGAAAATGCATTTGGCTTAAAGCAAAAATCTAACCAGATATGCCCGAAACCTAAAAGGAAATTCTGAATATTCCTCAAACGCTTTGTGATCCGGACAGTTTAATTATCACTTTGAAAACAAGGTTTGTGATGCATAAGAAAGCCCCAGTAGTGAAACTCCTTTATAGTATCCAACCCTAACGATATGGTTAAATAATAAATCTATGCTTTAATGATGCTACCCAAACGTTGTGTAGTAGGAGCGTGAGGTCCACCTGTGAAGCTGCAGGAGCAGAAACCATAAGCTGTTTTATGAAACTCAAAGAAGGCCGGATTACTGAATGACTAACTTATTCCAACACGGGACACGCTGTAATATTGCTGGATTGAAGTTTCTGTTTTGTGATTATTAAAACAGCGCAGTGTCTCAGAACACATTGTGGATGATTTACTAAACTTCTGCATTCAGATTGTTTTACAATCTTGTAATCGTACAACCTTTATAGGAACAGACTTGAAGAACAAAATAAATAAACTGGATATGACCATAAAAAAGGTGTGTACAATCTAGTGTTCTGTGCTAATGTGAACTGGTCAAAAACGCTGCACATGTAGGATGTTCACATGGACAGCCTTCCCTGACAACACGCGTTTGAAAATGTTTCATTCATTAAGCCGCCTCTCTGACTGACCGACCCCCATAGGGGACTACGATCTCAATGACGACTGAAGGTCAAACAACACATTTCCAGGAATCCGTCGCTCTTATTTTGAAGCTTAAACCGGACAGCAACACGGCGAGAAAACGACCTGATGGGTTTTAAAAACACAGACAAGAAAATACAACTAGTTTTTCTTTTTTTTTTCTCAAACACTATATTTTTGTTCCATCTCCACACAACCATCAATTTGACATGTCAAGAGTTTAGAATATTTTATTATAGTTTATTGTGATAGCATTTTCATTTTTCTTTTTTTAGTTTTATTTTTTCCAAAGAACAAACACAGCAAATAACGTTGAGGGGAGGAGGAGAGGCAGGAAGATGAGGGAAGAGAGAGAAAAGGATAGAGAGAAGAGGAGGGCCACATAGAGAATATAAATCAATCCATATTTAGATAGACAGGTAGGTAGACGTTCCAGGTTTGGCTTGATCCTCCCCCTGTAGCCTCTCTGGGTTCACATACACACACGCACACACTACATGTCGGTTTACAAAGCATAATTATGATCTGGATAAGATTAATAACTGTATGAATATATCGAGGAATTAAAAAAAACTCATTAAAGAACACACTAAGAAAAAACAGATTCACTCGCACTGCTGTGAAGCCCAAACGTTACAATTGGCCTGGAGAGAAAACACAGCGAGGTTAGATAGACAGGAACATCTGTATACATCATCTACGCATGCATACATACACTGTATGCAGGCTGAGTGTGTGTATGTGTGATAGGAGGGGATTAGGCAGAAAATAACATGGGTTAAGAGTTTTTTTAAATGCCCCAATTTATGCAAAACAAATAAAATGAAACCTCTAACTTATGACATAATGTCTCTAAGTGTGCATCTATGCATGTGTAATACATCGCCGACTAGTTGGTTAGTGGTGCAGGTAACGGGTCGCTCTTTTTGCAGCTGTCCAGATCTCTCTGGGGGGGAGGGGGTTGGAGTTAAGGCAGACAGCTGATCTCAGGTCAGACTAGTGGGGCTTAGTGGCTGATTTGCTCCCCTTCATTTTTGTTTTATCAAAACAAGTAAACACAATAAATTTGGCATTAAAATTAGGTAGAGAGCAGATGAGAAAAGGGTGACTGGAAGTAATCGTGGCTGGAAAAGGATCACATCTGGGATAGTGAAGCAAAAAGGACAAAAACAAACACTGCCGCAGCCGTGAATCAAGCTCTAAACAGCACATATTATGTATCTGCCAGCTAATTCAGGATGGAAATCTTAGCCTGCTTAAAAGGGAGATGCTTTGACTTTTTCAGTTGGAGTCAAGGTCCCCCACCAGACACTAAATACCTCCACTTGGTCCTGTTAACAGCCTGTTATCATTCATTGTTGTCATTTAAAAGAAAGGGCACCATCAACCCTAATGCAACAGGGAGGTTTAGCTCCTTGAAAATTGTTCAAAATGCTAAAAAGCTGTTTCAGACCCAGAGAGGAGTCTCTCTCCACTCCTGTAAGACTCAACTAGCCCACCACAACATGCCACGCTTCATCTGAAACAGCTACAGAAACCTAACGAGCCATATATACACAGAAATGCGTCTGATAAATACATAACAAAATCCACTTCCAATTTCTCAATCTTCTTAACTTCATAAGTTAAGTCGCTCAACAACCCTCAGCATTTCAACGCTCCTTCTCATCTTTATCGGTGTCAAAAAGATCCATTTTCACACTAACAGTTTGGTCTTTTATTCTCTACCCAGCTTTTTTTTATTTTTTTTAATCAGCCTTTAAGCCACAACCAGTTTTTTTTAGTGTTTATAAAATACAAGTCAGTCAGTGAGCCGACAAAAAAAGCACGTAGACTCAAGGAAAACCCCTTAAAGGTACAAGAAACAAAACAAAAGAGGAAAGAATGAACAAAAATGACATGTTTGCATTTTTTTTTTATGGACAAGTAATACAGAGTGACTTGAAAGCCTCCCGGAGCTCACCAACTGACATCCTGGAATACTTGTATCGCCTCTACGCACACGGGCACAGCATGAAATCTGACTCAGCATGTAGAAACACGTCCTGCTATCAACGCCGACTTAAAAACACATACAGATGTGTGTGTAGACACAACATGGAGCCAGGTTTATTCCATACAGTCAGCAATTAAAAGGGTTTCATTTTTCCACCTCGAGTCCCGCCTCTGCGTCTACAAAGTCAGCTCACTGCCAATCACAGATCCGTTTGAGGAACTGTGGCATCCTGACAGAATCTGTGTGAATGTAGAGGAAAATGTAGGATCTAAACTACAAACCGTTTTCTATAAGTGTGTCTGGATTTAAAATGTTTTTATTTAACCAAAAGAAAAATGTGAGCTGGAAAACCTGCTAGTGGAGAGGGTAAATCTGCAGGTGGAGCTGACTCTGTCCTCAGAAGACCGGAGGAAGTCATGCTGACTTGTGAGTGGGCGCTGCCTCCCCTCAGTGCATCGGGGATGTTCGAGACACTCAGGATGCAGCGATGGATGGATGAAAGAATGGAGCGGTAGAGAAACTGTTAGTGGGTCTGGACAGTTCTGTAGAAACGCAATGAAGGGTTGGAGAGGACAGGGAGGAGGGAGGGTTAGGACTGGAGGAGGTGGTGGAGGGGAGGCGGTGTTTAGAGGCTTCAGCAGCAGCCCCCTCCAGCATGTTGGCCTCCCTGGCTACTGGACAGTGTGGAGTTGGTGGTAGGATGCTGGGGTCCAATCTTAATACCGTTAGCCTGTGCGGGACAAAAACACACCAAGATAAGTAGATAAGTTCAAGAAAGAGAATCAAATGTTGCCGTCGTAAGTTCACACCTCCCTCACATTAATCATCTTCAATCACTTAATTACTTTAACTCAGAAAGAAAGTAAAATATTAAATCACCGCTTGTTTACTGTGCAATAGAAAAATAATGTTAATTACACGTGTAAACATTGGACATTAAGGTGTAATTATAATTAAAAAAGAAACTAAATAAAAAACACATTAAAAAGCCTGTTTTATTGCTTCCAAGGAGAGATTAACGGAGCACGGTGCCTGTGGGGGTGTTTCCATTAGATCACATCACAGAGGAAGCAACAGGTGCTGCTGCGCTGCACAAAGGCAAAGGCAACACCGGCAGAAACACTCAAGGACACCAGGATGAAAAAGGAAAGCTCATGGAAAAGAGGAGAAAGTGAGAAGAAGGAAGGCAGGTGGGTGGTGGGGAGACACTTTCATCTCTCCGAGCTGTAGTATTCACTCTGCCTCTGTGTTTCATCATTGCTCTGCCTCTGTGAGGCTGCAGCACACACTCAGCCTCGCTCGCCCTCTCCCTCTGTATGTATTCCTCTCCTCCTCTCAGCGCAACTCCCCTCCTACACTCAGTAGCAGTGGTGCCTCAGGGAAACACTGTATGCCTTTAAATCACATTTATTGAGCTAAGGCCATGTGTGTGAGAGTATGTGTTTTTCCTAGTAGTGGCTGCCAGCACTTCTGATGGGGCTTCCCTTTCTCTCTCTGAGCCAGTCAGCTGATGTGGTTTGGCTGGCCGGCCTGCCTTCACTTCATCTTACTGTTGCCAAAAACAAAAACAGCGACTGGCTGGCTCTTCCTGGTGCCTTCGGCCCAACACCTGGATATGCTGGCTGAAGGGCCAGATACACTTAAAACCATATGTGGACTCGGCCAGCGGATTCACACGCAGCTTTGTTCACAAACGGCTCGCTGCATACAAAGACGTGGTCACACGTGTTTGGTGGAGCGTACAAACCCCAGTTCTGGAACCACATGTGTGGAAAGACCATGAAAAGACCATATTTTATACCTAGCAGGTTACAATGGAGACCATGTGGATGGCTGAAATATAAAGCATCCATGCCCCACAGCCAAAACGTTTGGCCTACTTTGCCGCAGACATTTGATTTTTTTAATTAAAAAAAAAAATAAAAGCACATTTATTTCAAATAATTACAGTAGAATGTATAAGAAAAAAATATTGGTCATCACAAGGAAAGCCGTATGTGAGTCAAAACGAATCATCAGGAAAGTTGAATCTAAATTTATTTTTTTTCTTTAGTCAGAAAGATGTGCTTTGTTTACACGGAGGGGGTGGGGCTTAAACATGTACTTGCAGCCTGCCTCTAGGGGCATTTTGGTTTGGTTAAACGTCCACATTACGCTCCTCTGACTAGTTATTTTCCACATTGAGAGAGGTCAAAGAGGTCAGTACTGGTTACCTGATCAAGTGGGTAACATTTGGCTAATTCCAGTTGTCCAAAGACATCCAGTTGCCTTCATTTGAACCCTTTTCAGATTCAAACTCTTATTTATTTTCACAATGTTTCCATTCTCTAAAATGTAACATCCTGTGAGCCATGGGCCTCTCAAAGGCCCAATCGCCTCCAATTGTTCACCTCCTCATCAAAAATGACAGAAAGTCGGGCAGCTGTTTACTCTTTTTAATGGAAGTGTGCTGATAGAGCTACTGTGCAGGCATTATTTAAAGAGACTTTACGGAGTTTTGAATTTTTATGCTCGCGATTGCCCCCTCAGGCCGAAAGCGTAACGGCAGCTTCAATAGTAGGCTCGTGCACGAGGCGGGCATGCTGTATGTGCACACTCCTTAACGAAAATAACAGCTGAGGCAGTCAACTCCGTGTGTGTGTGTGTGTGTGTGTGTGTGTGTGTGTGTGTGGCCCGGAGGACAGAGGACAGGAGAACGCGCAGCTAATTAATTAAATAATTTGGTTCTGTACCTTTCTCTTCAGCACAGCCGACAAATGAAAGTTGAATCCACATCTTTTTTTTATCTGTGAATTCAATGCTGTTCGGCGAGTCTCAAATAAAAATGTGGGCATCTTACTGTAAAAAAATATACCAATAATGTAAAAAAGAAACTCTAAATAAGCTACGTTCACATCCAGAATCGAACCCGGTTCTTCTGCACGAAAGTCCAACGTCTTACCAGGCGAGCTAACGCGCCAGTGACATCACTTGTATCTGTACCATTTAAGAACGGTTCAGAGGGCGATGCCTGAGCGTGAACGCGCATGAAGCAGCCTGCTTGACACGAGCATCTCTCTTTTTCTGTGATTTTACAGAAAAACAGGCAATCACAGTAAAAATGCCAGGGCTCATTCTACAGGACCAGGGCATTGCAGGAGAATGTATGAAGAAGAAATTTATTATTTCTATACATGTTTTGGCTGTCAAACTTCCATAATGCCCCTTTAAACGTGTTAGAGGATGATGTAGAACAGTAATGGAAGAAAAATGGTCTTTGTCTCTTTGGAATCCTCTGTGGGAAGAGATTGCTGCTTCTATAGCCAAGAAATCTAGACCAACCGTAGCAGTAGCCACTGTTCAGGTCAATCTTCCATTGGACCAAATAGTGTCTTGCCAGTCACAGTCTTGTACGTTTGTTGGGCGGGCTTAACGCTAGAGCTGTGATGACAAAAACTACAAAGATGGTGGCAGCTCAGAAACAGCACTTATTGGAAAGTTTGATCAACTTTGGACGATTTAGACTTTGAGCTTTTCTCTCAGACATGAGACCATGTATGGTAGTCTGCCCTGTTGACTGATTTCTGTGGCGATGATTATGTTGCGTTGTTTGTTACTCTGACTGGTCTTAGCGCTGTCCAACTGTGGGAGACAGTTTTAAAGGAGAAACTGCCCCACAACTGGGTTGTTTCAATGGCTCGTGGCCAGACTATGTTTATGTATTTAGCAGACGCTTTTGTCCAAAGCGACTTACAAGTGATAATCGGCATATTGCCCTTGAGGCTAACAACAACAATAACAACAACAACTTGACATCAGTCATGGAGAGGAGGGAACAAGGAGTGGACAGTAGAGAGGGGGGACGGGTGCAGGGAGGGTGCTAGTTAAGAAGATGCTCTCTGAAGAGCAGGGTCTTCAGGAGTTTCTTGAAAATTGAAAAGGAAGCCCCTGTTCTGGTAGTGCTTGGAAGGTCATTCCACATTTGTGGAACGATGCATGAGAAGAGTCTGGATTGTCCTGAGCGTGGTGTAGGCACTGCTAGCCGACGATCCTGTGATGACCGGAGCGGCCGGGCCGAGACGTAAGCCTTTGCAAGAGGATTCAGGTAGATGGGAGCAGTACCATCTCGGACTTTGTATGCTAGTGTTAGCAATTTGAATTTGATGCGTGCTGCTAGCGGTAGCCAAGTCAGACTAGACTAGACATTTACACATATAGGATGGCTTGCCAGGTTAGTGGACTTTCAGATTTTTACATTTGTAAATTAGATTGTAGCTCTGACATGCTGCTTGTTGGCAATGAGTGCATCAATATCCACTTCTTGTGGTTAGTGTTTGATTCACAAGGGTCAAAATGATACCAAGCAGGTAGGGGGACAGTTATATTTCCTACAGATTAGTCATATTTTAATGACTGGTAAACGGATTTACACCAAACCGGGTAAACAATTAGACTTTTTGTCTCAAGTGCTGAATCGTAGATGGAAATTTGGCTGACAGGATGGCAAACGTACTGACTGCCTTTGACAGGCAGCTTACAGGGTGGCTGGCTGGGTGAGTGTTTGTTTTCTTGCTGAATGACCGAGACCTTGTGGGACGTGAGGAATTTCTGAGCTGGCATGATGCCAAGAGAGTGAGACAGAGTGAAGGAGTGAAGAGAGTAAGTGGAAAATGGAGCAGAGGATAGGAGGAAGGCGGGGAGTTTTACTTGGCTGGAGCCAAAGGAGGCAGAGAGAAGGGGATTTTTGCTCCCCTTCTCTTTTGGGGGCTAGAGGGCGCATGGCAAACCACACACACTGCTTGCTGGAAAGCCACGCTGAGGAGAAGGAGAGGAAGCAGAGAACAAAGACTGAAAAAGAGAAGAAGAGGACAGAAGAAAAGACTATAGGGGTTTAAGGAGGAAGGAAAATGTTTCAGCAAGTCTCACCTCGTTGTTGATATCAAAGACTCCCTCCTGGATCTTCTCATAGATCTCCTTGGCTGTGTTGATGAAAGCCTGAAACAGAGACAGACATTTCTGTGTTGACTCCAATAAATGAGTCTGTTATGCTTTCAGAAAGTTGTTGACAGCTGCTTTCACAAAGTTGTTCCACATGATCCAGTGGTCATTTCAATAACTAAAGAGGTATAGTCAGGAACCTCAAAACTCACCGTCAGGCTCTCACAACTCCACATTTCATCACATTTCACAATAAGGACAGAAAGTACAGATTGTTGTTTTAAATACTTCACATAGGTGTGTCAACTACCTGTAAAACATGCAAACATTAGCCTCGAAACAACAAAGCATTCACATTTCACGTACGAGGGATAGAAAAGCAACCTGTGTGTGTGTGCATGTGTATTACCCTGGCACTCCGACCAAGAATCTTACAGAAGACCACAAAATGATCATGGAACGTGAACAGAAATGGCAAGTGAGATATCTGAATCCAAACTGATTATGAGAAAAATAAAATAACATCCTCAGAATGTGCTCAAATTTAATTCAAGTGATTACATTGCAGCCTTGTTGTAAAAATATCCAAAGAAAATATTGTGCAAGAATGTAAAACCGAGAAAGTTCAATGAAGACAATCTTTTTAAAGTAAATTTAGATAGGTTTTTAAACTTTAAACTAGCGCTTTAAAGGGGAACCAGGTAGTTTTGGCTTGCTTTTAGCACCCCTTAATGTCTTGCTTTTAGCACCCCTTAATGTCCGTTTATAGAATCGAAAGCAAAACTTATCTCCTCGTTGTGCCATTGTCTTTTTAACACCTTAATCTAACCGCTAAAATATCTCCCCGGCCTTCTTTGGTGTCTACAGGAGTGATTCATCACTAAATTAAACAAATCAGCTGTGTTCAAGATCTAAAATTCAAGAAACGTGCTGGAAGCAGAACATGGCAGAACTCCTTCAGGCTTGTAGAGATAAAATATCAATGTTACATTTTTTACAGACAAATCAAGAGCAAATGGAGGCAGCCAACAAGTCGTGTTGCTGTTAGCCAATCAGAACAGAGATGTTCAAATACCAGGAAATTAGCCTGCCATATTCTGCTCCCTTCTACTCTGGCTCACTTCTACTTCCTGAAATAAGAGCCTGAGATCGTTTTCTCTTCAGAAATTGACCCATGTGGCATTCATTTATACTAGAGACCACTACAAATGTGTTGAAAAAAAAACAAGTGAACTTGGTCGTTAAAAAGAGGTGTTGAGATCTAGACATGTTTACTTTAGTTCAAACAGACATGTAAAAACAGCTAGGCTGATAAATTCCTTTTAGTTTATTTCATCTAATTTTGTTGAGACAAGTTCTGGAACCTTTTATGGGTCAGCACAAGCTCAACGAGGTCTTGCCTTTTGTCTGTTTTTGGTTATAAAACAGACAAACTAAACCAGAACTCCAGATAAAAGCTATTCAGCTAGAGCTCATTCATTAAAGGTCTGCATCATCTGCCATACGTTTAGCCACATGATAGCATAGCTCGCACATATTTCAAGCAAATCTAAAATAATTGTTCTTTTTTGCATTCCTTTACAGAAGTGAATCCACTTGCCTCGCCCACAAACAATGCTCACAGTCTGGCAAGGCTGTTTCTCCTAGGATTACAGTTTTCAAAGAATCCAAAAGATTAACAAGGAACTCACTTGAAGTGGTTTATGCTCTAAAATGTTTAGTTGTTGAGTATCTAAGAACCTAACACTATTAAATCTATAATAGTTAAGGTGATAATACTGTGGCGTTTGACCGAAGAGGAACATCTGGGATAAACTAGAATCAGGAACAAACTCATAGGGAAAAATGAGCTTCCTTATCCCAAAAAGTGTTCAGAAACTGAAACTATGTCCTGAACTTCAATCTGACACCCTGTCAAAAATAGACGAGCCCAAGGGTGCTCTCTAGTGCACCGTCCCGTTCACTCCTGTCCTCCTTCCAGTGTTCTACACATCAGTGCACCCCCACTCCTTCACATCTTCCTTTCAAGCGGAATGAAATGTACTGAGAAACAGCAAGTGAGGGAGAACTGAAACCAGGTGGGAGAAGACAGAAAATTTATTTAAAGTGAAGAGGACACAAAATATGAGAGAAATAAAAAATAAGCAGATGTGAACAGCGCTTTAGCATCTTGAAGGATTTAAGACAAGATGAGGCGATGAAAACATGCTCACAGCATCTCTTGGTCTATCTCTAAAGACCCTCCCATCAACCCCAGTGTCCACCCACAGACCCTGACGACAAACCTAGCACCCTGATTGGCTGCTGGATGTCGCTGAGGGAAGGTGGGGTGGAGGTTATGAATATGTATGAACTTTAACTGGTTGATATACTGCTGGAAGAAAGATGGGATGATGGGGGAAGGAGAAATGAACAGAAGAGGACAGGAAGACATAAATGAGGAGAGGGTGGAAAACATGTTGGGAGGAAGGGGGAGGGAGGAAAAAGAGATGACGAGTGGGAAGGGGGAGGCAAACGAGGAAAGGTAAAGAGCAAATGATGGACGTCAAGGGATGAGGAGGGATGGAGTGAGAAGAGCTGAAGGGAAGGGAGGAGGGAGGAGAGGAGTGGTATCAGGAGGATTCAGAGGACACTAATGAGACAAATTAATCATACCACACACACACACACACACACACACACACACACACACACACACACACACACACACACACACACACACACACACACACACACACACACACACACACACCTCCCCCCTCATCTTAACCCCAAAGAGAGCTCTGCTTGACGGTAGTGTGGATGTGTTTGTACGATATAGGCTGGCCAAGAGGAGGTTTGGAAAAGGGAAGGAAAAAAAATCAATGTAAAACACACACACACACACACACACACACACACACACACACACACACACACACACACACACACACACACACACACACACACACACACACACACACACACACACACACACACACACACACACACACACACACACACACACACACACACGCCCTCTGGGTGGCGTGCTGTGCGATGTAGGATGGGATTATTTATGTGATTGGATAAGTGAGAGAGGGGTCCCAGAGGACCGCGCTGTGCATTCATTGCAACAACACCAGGGGTGTGTCTGTGTGTGTGTGGAGGGGGTGGAGTCAGGCATTCAGCACGTTAACTCTGGTTCATGGTGCTAATGTGAAGCTGGCAAGGTTAGGCTCCATCACTGTCACGCAGGAGCAACACCTCCACGTGGAGCTTTACTACAAGTCCGGAGGAAATATTTTGGCATTATTCAAACTGCGAGTGTTACGTATGCAATAAAAGGACCATCAATATGGCCACCCTACAGCTAAATGTGTTCACTTACTGTTCACTACAACCTTTTAATGGATATTCACCACTTACATCATTAATTATTACAGAAGATTTTACAAAATTAGGTTTGGATATGAGAATTTTCCGGCCTGATTCCGACACGGACTCTGAATGCAGATAGTCAGGTCCATAAATATTGGGACATCGACACAATGCTAACATTTTTGACTCTATACACCACCACAATGGACATCAAATTAAAAGAACAAGATGTGCTTTAACTGCAGACGGTCAGCTTTCATTTGAGGGTATTTACATCCAAATCAGGTGAACGGTGTAGGAATTACAACAGTTTTCATATGTGCCTCCCACTTGTTAAGGGACCAAAAGTAATGGGACAATTGGCTTCTCATCTGTTCCATGGCCAGGTGTGCGTTATTCCCTCATTATCCCAATTACAATGAGCAGATAAAAGGTCCAGAGTTCATTTCAAGTGTGCTATTTGCATTTGGAATCTGTTGCTGTCAACTGTCAAGATGAGATCCAAAGAGCTGTCACTCAGTGCGTTTACATGCAGCCAGTAACCCTTTTAAAACCCGAATATTCACAATAACCCGGTTCCGCAAGTCCTTGCTAACACCGCCAAAAACCCGGATATGCTCATAACCGGGTTTTTAAAAACCCGGTTACTACACCTGGGGTAACCCTTTTCTAACCCGAATGTTTGGTCGTGTAAACGCACATCGGGATATCCCCATCAAAGCGTGTGTCCTGCGCATGCTCTGTTCGCAAGGAATCTTGGTCTTTTGAGTAGCGAGACGTCTTGTATGCGCCAGAACTCTGGAAGTAAACAACAAGTTGGGAGCAAAATGGCGAGTCGCGGCACAGCACCACACTTTTGGAGTGACGAAGAAACTAAAGCACAAACGCGGTCGCTATCTCTTCCGACCTGAGAAACATGTTGTTGTTTTCACGGATACCGGAACGAGAGAACCGGAAATGACGCATTTTGCGTCTGGACGTAGTCCATACGTCTTGACGCTACCCCAACGTCCGCATTTAAATCGGGTTATGCAAGTTAGGGGTAACTCTTTCTATTTATGCTTGTAAACGGGTTATTCTGATCAACTCAGAAACCCGAATACCGACCTTAACCCGATCATAACCCGGATATTGGCTGCATGTAAACGTAGTCACTATCAGTGAAGCAAGCCATCATCAGGCTGAAAAACAAAAGAAACCTATCAGAGAGATAGCAAAAACATTAGGAGTGGCCAAAACAACAGTTTGGAACATTCTCAAAAAGAAGGAATGCACCGGTGAGCTCAGCAACACCAAAAGACCCGGAAGACCACGGAAAACAACTGTGGTGGATGACCGAAGAATCCTTTCCCTGGTGAAGAAAACACCCTTCACAACAGTTGGTCAGATCAAGAACACTCTCCAGGAGGTAGGTGTATCTGTGTCAAAGTCATCAAGAGAAGACTCCACCAGTGTGAATACAGAGGGTTCACCACAAGATGTAAACCATTGGTGAGCCCCAAAAACAGGAAGGCCAGATTAAAGTTTGCTAAACAACATCTAAAAAAGCCTTCACAGTTCTGGAACAACATCCTATGGACAGATGAAACCAAGACCAACTTGTACCAGAGTGATGGGAAGAGAAGAGTATGGAGATGGAAAGGACCTGCTCATGATCCTAAGCATACCACCTCATCAGTGAAGCATGGTGCTGGAAGTGTCATGGCGTGGGCATGTATGGCTGCCAGTGGAACTGGTTCTCTTGTATTTATTGATGATGTGACTGCTGACAAAAGCAGCACGATGAATTCTGAAGTGTTTCGGGCAATATTATCTGCTCATTTTCAGCCAAATGCCTCAGAATTCATTGGACGGCGCTTCACAGTGCAGATGGACAATGACCCAAAGCATACTGCAAAAGCAACTAAAGACTTTTAAGTGGACTGTTTTGCAATGGCCAAGTCAACCACCTGACCTGAATCCGACTGAGCGTGCATTTCACTTGCTGAAGACAAAACTGAAGGGAAAATGCTCCAGGAACAAGCGGGAACTGAAGACTGTTGCAGTAGAGGCCTGGCAGAGCATCACCAGGGATGAAACCCAACATCTGGTGATGTCTATGTGTTCCAGACTTCAGGCTGTAATTGACTGCAAAGGATTTGCAAGCAAGTATTGAAATGTATAAGTCTGATTTATGGTTCTTATTCTGTCCCATTACTTTTGGTCCCTTAACAAGTGGGAGGCACATATGTTGTAATTCCTACACCGTTCACCTGATTCGGATGTAAATACCCTCAAATAAAAACTGACAGTCTGCAATTAAAGCACATTTTGTTCGTTTCATTTGATATCCACTGTGGAGGTGTATAGAGCCAAAAATGTTAGCATTGTGTCGATGTCCCAATATTTATGGACCTGACTGTAAAACAACAGGAATAATATGTTGAGCAACAGAGGCACAACAAGAATGGTCACTTTTATCATTCAGTAGAAAAGGTTTCCATCCAGATGGTTAAAGAAATCTTTGGGGATTTCAGAGATGCTTCTCCCTGTGACCTGATGCATGTTTATGCATGAGAGCAAGGGGAGAGGGGGGGAGGACCCAGGGCCAAAGTCACGCGTGCAGCTTAGCATGGATCCAAATGCCAACGCCGGTATTCAAGCATGCTCAGAATGACAACAGCACGATGTGGATTTGCACTTTAAAGCTCTCAGATTGTTGGGATTCACTGAAATAAACACAGATCTAATCAAGCTATTATGACTTCCTGTACTTTATAAATGAATCAAACATTTTTCTAAACAATAAAAATCTAAATATGAATCTAACCTTAAACCTTTTGAGTCAAAGAAGTCTTTCTATGCTGGCTGTGTGTTTGAGACAACTAGAGCTCTAACTTCAGCTACAGATGTCCACAAGCAGCACCAACAACTGTGCAGGAGCAGATAATGGTCAGAGATTTATCTGTCAGGGGGAAAATTAGCTGCTGACCTGCAAGGAGAAGCATTTGTTTTACACAGACAGGTGGTGTTTACAGCAGCTTGTAACTCCGTTTCAGGTAAATTGATAACCTTAATTGAATCATTAAAGCAGGAGTCATCATATCCTATTAGGTGTGTGTGTGTCATTACCTCCTCTACATTAGAGGCAGTCTTGGCTGAGGTCTCCATAAATATGAGGCCATGTTCTCTGGCAAAAGCTTCACCTTCCTCTTTCTTCACCTCTCTCCTGGACTCCAGGTCACTGAGACACAAACACGATCAGCTGGTCGTCAGTAAAAATGTAGCTATACAACTCAAAAGGTCAGACCGCGCAATCCGCTTTAACAACCACATGAATTAGGAATACTCACATTTGACCAAATTGGTCAAAATACCCATTATCTCAGCTGGTTGGCATCACCATGCAAATGTAAGGTTGAACGTACCCTGTTAACTCATTGTTCCAACACTAAAGTGTTATCTAAAAGTCAGTAACTTGATGCAATTTGCTAGGCTTACTTGGTGGGACATAAAACCGACAGTAGACTTAGCAGGAGGACAAGGCCTGTAACACTATATGTATGGTGTTACAGGCCCATTTGCTGGGTTCCTTATATAGGAAACGTTTTACTGATTGGCTTAATTAACTGATCTGTATTGGAATGTTTACTGTGTGAAGTGCCTTGAGATGACTCGTCGTGATTTAGCGATATATAAATAAATTTGAATTGAAAATTATCCAGCAGAAGGGTAGCGTGACCGAGCAGCTGCATCCATACCACAGGTGCAGAAGTGAAATAACCACATTTAAATAAGCTCGGAGTGTGTGTGTGTGTGTGTGTGTGTACTACAGCACAGGCTGGTGTGCTTCTGTAACCTCAGGAACAACAAGCCACGTGAAGCAAAAAGCAGAACTAAAGTTATCTGAATTTCATAAAATACCTGAATCACATTAACGTTGAACATTTTATTTGTGAAACGGATTGTTGTGTAAATGTAAGACCAGTAACAGTCTTGACCACCGGTAATGGCTGCCACACACTGCTGATGGTCCAACCTTATGTAGGCCAGGATGTACCCAACGCATTACCTCTTGTTGCCAATGAGCATGATGACCATATTGGAGTTGGAATGTTGGCGCGCGTCCTCTAACCAGGTCGTCAAGTGGTTGAAGGTGTCCCTTCTGTTAAAGCAAGCACAGATTTCTGGTTTCAGTCGGACTTCGCTCTGAAACTGGACACATTACAGATCAACCATCTGCTGTTGTACACGAACCAACATTTTACTTTCTCTTGAAAATCTCATGGTGTTGTCTGCAACAATTTAAAGTTACAAAACCATTTTCTTCTTCAGCAGATCTACAGAGTCCCTGCAAACCTTATGAACCAGTAATAATGGTGCCAGTCTTGCCAAACACCAGGTCATCTGGTTTGACTCGTGCTTTCAGATAAGGAGCTCTGGATGTTTGCAGGCTAAACACGACCCAGCTGAGAAGTAGTAACTAGTTCAGACACGTCTGTAACAACAGCTGCACTGAAAGAGCTGAATGCTGTAACAGATCTGAGATAGAGGATTCTAGTAGATGGATGTTAAAAAAAAAACTGGTATGTGCTTGCTTTGCCATGCAAACGGTTTTATTCCCCCAAACGGATCAGAAGTTTTCGAAAAAACATTTCAAACATCAAATTTACAGTAAAAATTCGCTCTTTTAATTTCTTCCTAAAAATAAAACATAGAATAGACGGTTGCCTGGATTCTATGTCAGCTGATTTCCAAGTTACCACAATGTTCCTAAATGCAACCTCCATACTTGGCTGGGTTACCTTGTGATGTCATAAACTAGCAGAGCTCCGGCCGCTCCTCTGTAGTAAGACCTGGTGATGGACCGGAATGACTCCTGGCCAGCCTGGGGACACACATCAATAAATTAAAAGAAACTGAAACATAAATAAATAAAATGTTCACAAAATGCAGATGATGTGTTTTCATAACCCTCCACTTTCATCCAGCCATATAGGTCAAAAAGCAGTCCTGATTCTAAAGGAGTCCTGCTCCGGGTTTTCTGTCTCTGGGGAGAGGACAGAGCGGAGTCTGTAACTGGATACAATAGCCTTCTCTCTTCTACTCTCCATCCATCCATTACATAGTCCTTACTTTCTCTCTGCTAGTGTGCATCACCTCCCAGTTTCTCAATTTATGCTAAACAAAGAAGGTCAAATTAGCTGCAGTGTTGCAGTATGCAGATTAGACATGTAGCATTTGTGTCATCCTTGACAGTCCATCCAGCTCACCGGGTCACCTTGTACTTTCACTTCCCCTCTCCATTATTATCCCCTCATTGTCTCACCTTTCCTTTGTCTTCCCTCCATCCCTCATCGTTTCATTCTATCCCTCTCTCTGATTCTCCCCTCCTTCCATCACAGCTTTCACCATCCAGCATTCTTACTGCCCCCTCCCCAACCCAAGGTCTATTCATCCTCTGTCTCTGTCCAGTGTACATTAACAATGTTGTCTCTGTGTTCATCCAGGCCAGAGCTGAAAACAAAACGGCACTATCCTAGCAGCTGCAAGTCCTGCACTGCTCTGACCTCATCTGAAAAACCAGACAGTCACACAGACACACAAGCAGGAACACAGCAAGTCAATGAATCATTCAGCAAGTCAGAGACACAGCCAGCTAGTTTGTCGCCCAGAAAACCAGCCTGGAGGCTATCAAACACATCGATTTGGAGGACTAGTTAGCCACCTAGAGAACTGCCCAGCTAGGTCAGTCAGCTATAAACCAACCCAGAAAACCAGTTAGTGAACCAAACACCAAGTCAGCTGGTCACTGAACAGCCAGTCAGTAACACAGACAGCAGTCAACCAGCCTGAAGTGCTATTAGTGAATAAATGATAAATAAGGGTGAAAGAAAGGGAATGCTGTGTCTGTCAGCCATCTGGCCAACAGACTTGTGTGCAGACAACCCCCCCCCCCCCCCCCACACACACACACACACTTATTTGTATGGCGAGTGCAGCCCACACAACAATCCAAATGGCTTCTCTCTTGGTTGCCGTTTGGTGATGGTGTCTGCATAAGTCCCATAATGACATCAGTCTGCCGGGTTTTGGTTCGACTATAATTATTCCACACCTGGACAACCAGGTGAACTAAAACACCTATTTGGTGGGACATAAGACCGACAGCAGACTGAGCAGGAGGAAAAGGCCTGTAACACTATATGTATGGTGTTACAGGCCCATTTCTCCTGCTGCTCCTCCTCAGAAAAATAGAGCTCTAACTCCACCTGCTGGTCAGTTTCTTAACTGCATGCACACACTCATTTTGAAACTGAAATGTCAATGACTGAAACACACAATTGCATGTAAATAATATCCATCCATCCATCTTCATCCGCTTATCCGGAGTCGGGTCGCGGGGGCAGTAGCCTAAGGCGAGAGGCCCAGACTTCCCTCTCCCCAGCCACTTGGGCCAGCTCCTCCGGGGAGCTTCTACAACAGGAAGGATATTAATAGTTTGCAACATAAAAACCCACATGAAACGATCTGAACCATCCCTTTAATGTCCTCTTCAAAGTTAACAATGATCCCATTCATAGCGGCTCAGTCCCTTCAGTTAAATAACAAAAACATAAAACGTATCACATTCCAGCAGGACCTCTTCAGTGTGGTGCCAATGTGTGCCTTTGAAATGGGTTTAAGACCAAAAATGTACAAAAGCAAACAAGTATTGTGCTATTTTACACCATCTAGAGCAACGATAGGCCCAATATATGATCAAATATGACCGTTGGCACTATTGAGATGTCATTCCTTATGAAATACAAGTCATTTTCCTTAGCCATTCCATCAGTCCGGATATAAGACATTTGGATTTGATGAAACCCCGCCCGCACCCATGTGAATTCCACCATAGTACACAGCTGCAGAACTGCAGACCGCAGATTAATGCTTGCAGCAGATTCACATCAACATGTGGGGAAAAAAACACTGGCATTCCTGTTTCAGGAACTAGAAGTGAGCCAGATCAGAGTTGAGTGGGCAGGATGGCAGTTTTACTCCCTGATATCGAGACATTTAGCCTCTGATAGGCTAAGAGCAACGCAACTCTACCACTGACTCAGTTCACTCTGCAAAGTTGATGATTTATCTTCACAAATAACACAAGCCTGAAGGATGTCTGCCATGCTGTGGAGTTGCTAATGCTAACAGTTAGCTTTTAATAGCCAAGTCATGCTCTGCTCTCTCCTGGATGCTAAATCAACAACAGTTAAACTCGTTACAAAGATATTATCACCCTATGTGTATTTTACACAACAATGTGAGCATCTGGGATGAGTTTTTTTTTATTTGCTGCAACAAAAATGTAAATATCTAAAGAATTATTTACCGTATCCCAGATTTGCAATTTGATCTGTTTGCCGTCTATAGTGATCATCCTTGCGCCAAACTCCACACCTAGAAAACAACCACAGAAGATTAAAATGAAATACAATTAGATAATGCATTTTCAAAAGAAGCTGGTGTTTATTAATGAATCTTAAAAAAATCCTGCTTTTTAAAAGGTTTACTCATTGTTACTAGCTGGAACCTCAGTGACAAATGTGTGTTTTATATGGACAGACAGAAGAACCACAAATAGAAGAAAGTCTAAAAAGAGGTTACTAAACTAAAACTCATATTTATTCACTGCACAGTGATGAAGTGGAAATGAGCCGTTTAATGAAACATGAGCCAATGTGCCCAGGCCCTCGGCTGAACAGTACTAGAGGGTGTGGTGCTCCTGATGCTGCAACCATACAAAACATTTACAGCACATCCATCTGCTGTACAGATCAGAAACAAGGTAACGTGACAGAGGAGTTGCGACTTCAACCCTTGACCCACATGTTTGTGTGGGCAGGTTTAACACTTCATTTGAAGGTGCAGTTTGTAAGAATGACATCCTGAGGTCAAATTAGGATTCTGCAGCCCACTTTTCTAGGCAAAAAGTTAAGAATCTCACTGCCGTTCCTGAGTTTCATTGCTGTTACCAGTTACAGATCAGCAGTAGAAGATTCTAGATGACAAATGTAGAAGAGTCATACATTTTTATATCTTGAGTGTTTTAAGGTAGGGAGCACTCACTACTCTTTTTACGGTAATATTTCTGCAGCATTACATGATGTGTGGTTGCTTGTCATCCTGCTGTTAGCTTGCCATTAAAGTTCTGAACGATTCTAATTCACTAATAGCATTGTTAGCTCAACGCTAGCCTCTAGTCTGCTTGACCCGGCAGAGTAAAATAAAAAGATGCTGTGGCTTCTTAGGGGTAAAAGAAATAACTTCTGGGTCACTTCTTTTTACTGGCTTCATTTCTTTAAAGAACTCTGCAGTTTTTGCCTGCCAGTATCAATTCCTGGAAGGGGAAAAACTTCAGATTGAAGCTTAATGATGTTCACCCCCCCCCCCCCCCACAAAATAAATAAATAAATAAATAAATAAATAAATAATGCAGGCGATTGTATTCGGCAAATATTAAGCATGATCGGGCAATCTGAAACTCATATATCTGATTGTTTTTAGGCTTGTGAATGCACCACTGCAAAGCGGCAATGAACATTTACAAACAAGTTTGCCAGTCTGAACTCACCAGAGCTTAGTACCAATTCATCATAGCAATAACAGATGTTGCATGTGAAAGTTTTCACTTTCAGAACCCTAACCCAACAAATAGATTCTGACGCCTGTTACAGCCGGAAAGAAAAGAAAATTAATCCTCAAATACGAAATCGGTGCAGCTCTGATTAAAATATTCAGTAATGTTGTAATTAAAATTTTACTGAAACCTTTAGTTTATAAAAAAATTACATTAAACTATGACATTTAAAAGCAGGCATAACTCAAATGACTATTGATGATGAGGGAGAGTGTGGTCAGCAGTTCTTACCGATGGTGAGATCGTGAACTGGCTGAAACCTCTTGTCTGTGAACTGTAGTAATAGACATGATTTCCCCACACCTGGAAAACATTAAAGAAAATTAAAATGACTTTATAGATACAACTGGAAACCTGAACTGAACTGATTCAGAACCAAAAAGACAAGTAAAGAAATTGAACTCTGCATCTAAACGGCGCAGAGACACTTAGCTGTTTGTAGGTGACAATGATCAGCAGGGAGTCACATATGCACAACAGGAATTATTGTCACATAAATACGACACATACATTTTTAATATTAGAGCATTAGAGTCAGCATCCAGTTCAAATGAGCCCAGCAGGAAACTTACACTTGTTTTCCAGCCCAGCTTTGGTTAGCCAACTGTTAGCGTGCTAAATGACCAGCTGGCTATTTCAAGTGTGATGTCACAACTTTTTTTTCCCACAAGGGCACTAATGAATCTGCTCGTGACTAACACTACTCCGATCACAACTCATTCTGAATGCTGCAGTCTGCCACTGATACAACACAACGGATTAATGCCTTTAATATGCTATTGTCTGGACGTTTAGCTAACACGGCTCAAAACAAAAACAGGACAGTGGATTATAGAGTTGATGACAGAGCTAGGAACATTTTGATGAAAACACAAGTGATCAATAGTTGCTGAAAAAGAGAAACATCCTGTGTCAGATCGTTAGCAGACATCAGATAAGGAGTTATTGCCCTCGTTTATGAAACACTGAGATGAGTTTTCACAGAAGCTGAAATCAAAGTGTTGTTTTTGATAAAATAATACCAAACATGTCTGAACACTCATCATATTTCTTACACTTAAAGGACGGCTTTACATCTCTTAGGTATTTTTCAACATTTTGTTAGATTTTCACACATGTAGCAGGAAAGTTTACATATAAACAAACAACCCCGAAATGAGTAACCTGTAGTCATTCATGCAAAGATAGAACAATAAACATCACCCAAAATGTTTAAACTAGAATAAATAACATCCAGCAGCAGTAATTAAATCCATCAACCAGCCTCAAGACAGAATGTCTCATGGTCTGTTTAAGACAACAATCTTACAAAATCTATTTAAAAAAAAATGCTGATTATAAATTTAATATTTTGTTTTGATAACTTGATGCACGACACAAACTCAAAAGCAAAGGCTAGTGATTATATCGGAGGAAAAGGTATCTAATAGAAGACGAGGATGGTGTGAAGGAGAAGGCGGTGACGCAGAGGGACACGGCGCTCCTCCAGTTTCCAAGGATCCCTACTGCCAGGCAGTGGCGTTGCTAGGCAGGGGCCATGTGATGCTAATTATAAGGGATGGAGGGATCAACAGGAGGGAAGCAAAATAAAGGTGAACATCACCAGTTCATCACACTTATATATGCTGTCAGCGGGCACCTGCGTACTCCTCTCACAACAAGGCTCAAAAACACACTATGTGTACGTTGGTGGAACTCGTTATTCTGCTCCTAATTAGTTGAATTAGCCACAATACTTAAAAGACCACTTCAGCATCGCTCAGCAGCGCATTCCTGGCCAAAAGTTAACAACATGGTGCCTGAGCGATGGAGTATGGGCAAACTCTTTACCCCGGGCTATAATCAAAGCCTGTTAGGCTTTCATCGTGGGTACAATTATCGTTCTAATTAAATGGAGAACTAGGTAATGTTTCCATAAAAGCTCTTTCCTCCAGTTCCAGCTGAGGTAATAACGTCTCATCATACTTTACCATGCAGAGTTAATTCTGACTTTGCTCAGTGCTGAGTGGATGGGAAACAAAGAGGGTGCGTGTCGACTGGATCAGCGACAGGCTGGTAAACGGGTTGGTTTTCATCCTGGATATGTTCAGGAGAACGTGGTGAGTGATTGTTCAGCTAAAGGCGTGCTTCATGTGAAAAGGTAGGTGAGTATGAGGGTGTGACTGTGTAGAGCACACAGAAGGCAAAAGGTACGGAAGGCTTCAAATGTCCAGAATCCTGCTTCCTAGAAGCCACACACACACACACAAAATGCACCATTTCAGGACCGTTTAAGTCACTCAGTTTGAGTGACATCAGCATGACTCGACAGATGGAGGAATCGCTACCTGCTTCTGACTCCAGCAACATTAGTGAGCTGATGAAGGGAACCCTTGGAGGAAAACTTGGATCTCAGATCATTCAGGCTATTGAACATCTCAGAAATAAACCTTTAAAATCTAAGTGGAGCTCTTCATTACACAAGGACACGATTAATGTGATTTTCCAGTTTCTCAAAGATGACTAACTGTTGTCATGGCAACCAGTACTAGACTGAAGTCCACAAAAGTTGGCTTAGCAAACTTAAGGCTAATAACAGAGTGCCTACTTATAATAATCGTCAGATGAGTATGGTTTTGATCATTTTTAGTGTTCATGTGAGCCTTATAAGGAAGTGTATTGCCGATGAGTGCGGGGAAAAGAATATGGGAGCAGTTTCTCGTAATAACACGTTTAATATCCCGTAATAATGAGATTGCGCTAAAGGGTGAAACACCAACATCTCGTGGTTGCTTGGATTTCATCTAGAAGAAAAAAGGGAGGGAAGATAGAGTCAGAGAGAGCTTCTTTATGCTTTCTTAAGAAGCGTCGTTATAATGGACGGGTGCCTTTCCACCGGCCTCGAAGCAGCGCGACCCAGAAGCGTAGGGCCACATTGCTTATGTTTTAGTCTAATTTTTACACTATATGCTTCTTGTCTAACTATGCAGGTCTGATCGGGTCAGACAGGAAGTCAAACATAAAAGTAGTGTAAAGCATCTGGAAACTTTGAAAATAAAATTCATGTGCCAATTTCCAGTTGTGTAAGTAGTAAAAATGTACCTAATTTCATGTGAAACACTCAGTAGCCGAGGTAAACAGAACAGAAAATAAACCAGAGACCTTTTTGGATACATGACACCATCTTTCTCCTAGTTTGCCATCAAGTGAACTTCTAAAATCATGCGAGGTTTTCAAATTCTCCTGTTATTACGTGACCTTGCAGGACCAGCTGTGGGGAACGCTTTTGCCCTGTTTCGAGCCTGAAACACTCCTGGTTGGAAGCTCGCGAGTACACAGTGTGTATTATGTTACATGACGATTACGCGTCCAGTGGAATGGCTGGATTAAAAAACTTTTGGGAATGAAAAGCTGTCCGTCTGTTGCGTTGGCAACAGGGGTGTCCATAGCTGAGCCGACAGAAAAGAGAGCTAGCAAGTTTAATATGCCAATTGAATTAAGCATCGTTGTTGAGCGGTTTTCCCCCGTTGTTGTGGAACTGCTGTTGATGTACTTGCTAAAATTTACACATCACGAATTGGTATAATGGCCCCGTTCATTTGGTGTGCAAGGCCAAAATACAGTCACCATTTTACCATTATGTCCTATCTCGTTAATAAATAATATTAGACACGTTATGAGAAAGTTTCTCATTAAAACAAAATTTATATCACATTATGACAGAAACTGTCATTATTACGAGGAACTGCTCCTCTATTTTTTTCCTCGCACTGACGACAATATGCTTAGCTTAATGAGTGGGGGAGTAGAGGGAGGTGGTGTACCATGGGGAATACAGTCGGTAAAGACGGCTCTCCCTTGCCCTGTCTCCAACATGCCTCCATCTAAAAGGCTAGGTTATCCAGCGTTATCTCAGTGGTTATGTTGCTATAGGCTTAAGCCTAATTCATACTTCTTCGTCAGCTCCACGAGGGAGAGACGGGCACGCACAGACGCACGGTCGGAGACAATTTGCCCTCATACTTCTTCGTCTCCTGGGGAGTGTTGCAAAGCAATTCCCCACCAGGACAACAGAGGGCGTAGCGCTGTTCTGTGGTATCCTGTCATGTATCCGATCCAAGACAGCATGTTTATGTTGTGTTTTTTGCATTTTAGTTACTTTTCAACATGGACAGAATTGTCTCTCATTCTCCTCCACCTCTTCATGTGCTCGCCCCACGTTTCCCATAATTTCCGTCCACCTCTTCAAGTGCTCGCCCCACGTTTCCCATAATTTCCATCCACGAATAAAACGCTTGCTGTGCATCTTTTCACTCCTCCAGTCGCGGGGGAACAACACGTTCATATTTTTAGAATTTTTCCTGCGAGGTATTCTTCAATCTGCCCCGTGTCTGCCTCTAGATATCCTTGGCTCTTTATGTTTTTGAGGGCACAATGGTGGTGCAGTAGACGACAGCAGCGTCCTGACCAATCACAAGCTTGTGTTCTCCGTCTCGACAGATGGATGTTTAGAAAAGAATCAAAGTCACTAAATATATTTTGAAAATTGATCAAATCAAGTGTATTACAGAATTATAAAAATCTAAATTCAGACAGTGTCTGATTAGGTCTGTAAATTAGAAGAATAAAGTAAGATGAATTAGTGTTTTATTTTGTTTTGTTGTTTCTTGAGAATTGTATGGAAGTATTATTAAAACGCCTGGTTTGTAAACAGGGGCAGATAATATAAGATTTCTTCCTTCTGCCCCTTTTCATTCACATTGTTTGGTGTGGGTTAGGGTTTTATGTTTTGTTTGTTTTTATATTACACTTTGAATGGGAAAAAAATAAATTAAAAAGAGAGAGAGCTCGATTTTGTCCGTCCTTGCGTGCCTGCTGGAGAGCCCTCACAAGGACGAATAATGGCGTTGCTTGCGTCCGACCGTCCCAACGCAGAAGGAGAAGTAAAAATTAGGCTTTAGACTGCTGGAAGACACACTGACCACTTTCCACACTCGACTACTTTCTTCTACAATTTCTCCATTAACTGCATTATTTTCTGCTATTTCAACTATTAACTTAATTTTTTTCTCTAAGTGTTTTTCTCCCTAGAAGAAGCTACAATGGTGTTCTGCTGAGCTGTGGTAGCCTCATGGAGGCGGCGATCAGCTAGCACACTCCTGCTAACCCCTTAAACATTCTCCCTCTCCTGATAAGAACATTTTACTTTCTTTGACATTGAATGTGCTACTACTAGTTTACCCGTTTAATTATAGATTCACTAGGATAAATACAATAAAGTTTATCTCTCGCCAAATAGAATATTTACTAAGAAATCACAATGT